TCTTTGAAGTTTGAACAGTAGCGTTCAAGGGATTTCTATGAGTTGCAACCTCTAAGTTGCATTTCCTTCATCATCTTATAAAAGCCAAAATTATAGGAGAACATACAAATCTTTCCTCACTTCTATAGGCCCCAAAAGCTCTAGAAGATTTCTAACCTTGACTCAAAAGTTATAGATTCCTCTTTTTCTCCTATAACTTCCAAGTTGTGGGAGATCTCACTCTCTTTAGAACCAAAAGCTAAGGAGGTAATGCAGGCAAAAATTTGGGAAAAAGCCTCAAATTTTTGCAAGCAAAAACTTAACTCTTCTTAGGATAAGAAAATACAGAAAATACTCAAAAAGACACAAATACGACAAACCATAACTTTTTATAAGATAAAAGACTTACAAATTTTTGACGCTTACAAACGACAAAATAAAGACATAACGACTTTCCTAAAACTGCTTGCCAAATGTTGAGGAGAAGGATACAGGTGAGGTGGATACTTGTGGGAAGAAGAACGAGATTAGAAGCCAAGATGAAGTATAGCTTGCAAGCTATAGAGAGGAGAAAAAGGTGAAGGACATAACTCGCAAGCTATTCCAAAGAAAGAAGAAAAAACCTCTCAGGTTTTTATCCAAAAATCACATTTTAACCACCCTTTTTTCATCTCAAATTATCTATAATTTATAGGCAAAAGGAAGAAGCTAAACAGCCACAAAACCTCCAACTAAAACCAATCAGTTTTGGGGAAATGAAAGGCCAAAAGACACCACAACATCCCACAAAAACTGCATAAAAAAAGGGAGAAAAAGCTACGGGAAACCCAGCCAGCAAAGCCACGGGAAGCCCATCCAGCAAGGGACCCGAGGAGTCAGCACAGGAAACGGGGCAGAGACTCACGGGAAAACAGCCAGGGGAAAACCGAGAGGGAGAAGTCACAGGAACAGCAACAGCAAGGGAAAAATCGAGAAGGCAAAGGGGAAGGGAAGAGACATAAGTCCACTCCACAATAATGAGAATACCTTTTTGATTTTATGAGCTATGAAGTGAATTTATTCCACCAATTATTGAGCTAAATAAGTAGAAGAGACTCATTAATGAGCTGATTTTAGAAGCTCACCAAAATTTAAAACCCAACTTGTTTTGACCTCCCCCTGCCTACATCAGGAGGACTCTCTAATATTTAGCCCAAAAGCTAAAATGTTGAATTCCTAAATCTCCTACCCTTAGCTCCAAAAGCTTATGAGGATCTTCCAATACTTAGCTCAAAAGCTATATGTTGGACACATTCTCTTCCTCTTCTTTAACCCCAAAGCTAAAAAAAGTATCCATCTTCCTAGCTCCAAAAGCTAAGGAAGATGTTCCAACACTTAGCCCAAAAACTAGTATTGGACACATTTTCCTTAAACCCAAACTCTAAGTGAAACACCCTTAGTGTGACATGTCACACAAGCCTCACACACTTAGGTGCACAGCCCCCTACACATGGTAGGAATATTATTTTTTTCTGCACATGTGATTGTCTATAGATTGTCTACGTTGTGGGCACTTGCCCTTAAATGGATAATGGAGAAATATATATGTTCTTCTTGCAGGTGATCATGAGGGGGTAACATAAATCATGATTATTCTAATATTGTTTGCTTGCAAGCGCTGTTTAAAATCTCCCAAAAGATATAACCAATAGGATAGAAGTAGATGCTTAGCACTCGAAGTGCTAAGCAAATTCTAGATGTAATATGTTTATTATATGAATTGCTTTCTGACTCTGTCTTGCAACTTTGAGTCTTTTAACTTTTAAATGTATTTTATTCGACTTAAATTGTATTTTTAAGTTGTGGGATTTAGTTAAAGAAAATGGATCAAGAGGATGTACCTACTGAAGGTGAAGCCTAATATTCACTTAGAAGTCAAAAGCTTGAAGACCCCACAAGTAGATTCTATAATAAAATTTGATTGAGTTGCATAATGGCAAACAACTCAATTGCCATATTTCATTGTAATAACTGAGACATTATTCACATTTTTGCCTTATTTAATTTATATTTTCAAATATGTATTGATTGTTTACTGGGAGCGTAATAGAAACATATTTTTTCCTACGCTTTTTCTCTTGTTTTGCTTCAGGGTGGCCTAAACTTTTGATACGGTGGGCTCTTAAGATAAAATTAAGATTTCTATAGTGAAAAATGTAAACAATCTAAAATCAATTTAAGCTCCATCTTTTTTTAAATAAAAAGAAAATTATATGGCTCATTTCAATGAGCCATGTTTTCCAAAAAAATAAAAAGTGATCGTGCATAGCCCAATGAGCCTCATGTAAAACAACCTTCACTTAGGATCAAATAACAAAAAATATATATTTGTAAGTCAGCATTCTGCATACCACTCATGGTCAGGCATCTTGGCCTAAAAGTCAAGTTATAAGCCCTATCCTTTAAATACAAAAAATAGCCTCCCTACTCTTCATCTGCATTGAAACTAGAAATCATGGATTTAAAAGCAACAAGGTGGCTTTAGTTGGTAACATTTTTTGGACAAGGCAATAAATCCAGAGGTCAAGCTGGCTATGCCTCCTTTGTGGAGTAATTTATAAGTCTATTTCACTTGTTAGACTTAGGCTCGAAGTACTATCCTTCAGTAGTACGCACCACAAATCTAGGATACGAGGCAATGGTTTATTTCAATAAGCATACTAGCCCTCACCATTCGAGCATTTCCTCCAACTCGTGTTATTGGAATATAAGTTCTAACATTATAATCAAAATGATCAATTTAAATAAAAATTGGATTCTAAAATGTAAAGCACAACATAGGATAGTTCGAGCACCTCTGAAATTTCTCAAAATCAAATGCTCATATTTCACTCCTTTGGCTCTTTTTCCAAAATCTGATTTCAAGTTGATCCCTCATCTTCTTTAAAATTCTTAAAAAATCAAAACTCTTTAAACAGGATTTCCTGGACTTTAAAATTAAATTTTAGCCAATATCTAAATGACTTTTAAAAGAAAAGAAAACCGCTAGTTTAATCAAAAGTATTCTCAAGTGCCCTATGGGGCATCTGTACCTCAGAATAAAAATAAATCTCATTCAACTAAACAATGAATGGGGAAATCTCTGTTAAATTGTAAATTTTATTATTTAGTCCATAAAGAAATTATATTTTTATCCTTCGGGCTAATATATCATTTTTCTTATGTTGTAATCAATTATAAAATATGCAATTTGTTTGAGGATAACAAAAATTCTCGAACACCACCTTGTATTTAAACACAAGTAACAGCTCCTACATGCATATCCCTAATGACTTTATAAGCATTATTAACCCCATTCTTTTCTAGAACTCTTTATAGCACTTCTCTCGAAACGTTATCATATACTTTCTCTAAATCAATAAATTATAAGCATTATTAACCCCATTCTTTTTCACACTTCATTTTTTTAAAGCCTCTCTAACTTTGGATTTACTAATATTTTGATAAAAATAAAAAACTCAATTTTCATTTAGAATGTTAGGGTCAATAAAGTCAATCATATTCTCATAGTCTTCATTGAAAAACTTAACAAAATATCTCATCCACCTTTGTAGAATATTCTCTTCTAAAAAAGCATTTTTTTTATTTTCATCATTAATGCACTTCACTTGAACTAAATCCTTACTAATTCCATTTCTTTGTTTGGCTAACAGATACATACATCTTTTACCCTCCTTAGTATCTACTTTATTATTTAAATAATTAAAAGCTAAAATCTTTGCATTGCATATACAGGCCTCTTTATATTTTTTCGAATTTTCAAAGTTTTACATCCAAACTACAAACTATAACAAAGCTTCTAATTTTTTATCTTTTCTTGAACATTTTGATTTTACCACAACTATTTTTATTATTAGAAGCTTTTCTTTTTGAAACTCCAAGCACATCCTTCGCAATATTGTTAACAGTACTTGTTATTTTTTTTCCACATAACATTCAGTTCCTCATGCACAGACAAATCTTAAGATATTGAATCTTACTTTAAAAAATATTTTTGTTAGTGTTCTTTAATATGTCAAGTTCTTATGCCGTACTCGATTATAAAATATGCAATCCGTTTGAGGATACAAAAATTCTCCAACAAAGCTCCTTGGCTTCCTCACGTAAATGAAATGACAAACCCATCCTTTCGTCTCCTAACTGATGGAACGCTTCTACCTTGTTGTCTTCACACGGATAGTCATTCTTCCGCAGCGCTTTGTCTTCTTTGTCTTCTTCACGATACAGGACCTTAGTTTGGGGTATTACATAATATAACAAGATTTCTCATGTCATCCTTCCGAACTAAAACGAACCTCAAAGAACCAAAGACACACTCTTGAAAAGGAACATCACATGTAACAGCAATGAGAAGGCATGCACCACAAAATGACCCTATAAACAAAAGATGATGTGGATTCAAAATAGACATGCTTGAAACGGGAAATAAGCTTTTTCAACTTAAAAAGAACCAAAATATACTGCCAACTTAAAAAAAATGCAGAAGCTGAAATCTTCCACCAATTTTCTACATGAATTCTCAGTATCCGGGTCTTACAATATGTTTAGCGTGGAGTGGCTTTAACAACAATACAATAATCCAAATCCAAAGCATGCAGATCAATTTCCAACAAATACAAAAGAACTTAAAAACAAATACCGTGGATTTAACCAAATTCCTACTCATTTAATCACACGTGACATGGTTATTAGCCTAAATTTCCACATACATGCTTTATGTTAACAGAAACTTTTGCAGCCAAGTATCGTGCGTGGATCAATTACTAACTTTGAAGCATTCATTGACTTAAGGTTTCACTATCATCATTGGCCCCATCCCAAATATTTGGCGTCAGCTTTATTAAACTTAATTGACCTGAGGTGTAGTAAACCAGAAACTATCTAGCCTAATATGTTTGCCAACATGCCAAATTGGGCATGGCTAACTTTACTTAAACCTGATGAGAACGGTATAAAAGGTTGGAAATTAAATATTAAATACAAGAAAATAAGTTAAAATCATGAAAGTTGCCAAACCTCAGGATTACGTGTTTTGGCATCATTTTCATGAGTACTTTTCTCTTGCACTTTCAATCCAAGCTTCGCATTTTCTGCTTCTCTTAGAATCTTTGACCAAATCAAAAGTAATTCACAAAAGCAAAATACAAGTCAACAATAGTTTACAAAAAACAATAACAAAAATTAAGGTGAGCAAAAAACCTGGCGTGGAGGTTGCAGTTTTTGACGAAGCTCCTCGGAACAGAGATCGTACACATCCAATTCTAATGGATAATCTACTTTCTGAAAGTAAAAGAAATATTCTCATTTAAACATAAAAAGACTCTGTATTACCGGCAATCTTGTTTTTATTGAAAAAGCTAGCCATTCAATTCTCCTCTGGTAAAGCCTGCTTGAAATCAATTTAAACTACTGTACTGCATATGCTAAGTTACAAATTAATGTAAAATAATAACAAAAAATAACTTACCCGCAAGATCTTTGCCTTCTGGTTTGTTTCTCTTTTCCAGAAGAAACGAACAAATTGTACAGTTAAATACCTGAAAATAACGGGCAACAATTTTCATTTCGAATGAAATTCACATAAGACAAAAGGATAAAAAGTTATTCTTGCCTCGGCAAATCACTGATACAAGATTCTTTGGTAAAAATGGCACTGCGCCCCAGTACAGGGGAAGCCTTCTCTAACTCAGATTTGAGTCCCTGTTTGAAACAAATCAACAGACAGGTAACTCAACAAAGAACATAAAACATATTAAAAATAAAAAAAAAATGAAGTACAAAAGTTCATAAACATGCAAAAACGAATGAGCCAGCAAAAAAATGATAGCTGAGGGCTGGAAAGCCACTCACAACCAAATTATCATAAAGCCATTGACTGATGCTCTGTATATTTTGCTGGTGATAGTACGAATAAAGCATTGGAAATGCCTTTTGTATCACATCAACCCTAACATGATTTCAGTCCCTACACTAGCAGTGGTAACTGATCAATTCTCCATTACCTTACCACCTTTCTTCCAAAATTTTCAATTAAGGTTTGCATTAGCTGAATCCCTACGCCAAAAAACAGTGAGTTAAACATTGGATGTAGCATAATTAGGTCAGTATACTTGTCCGCTTCCTTGGAACTAGCAGATTTTTCAAATAAAAAAGAGGGCAATTATCCTTCATCTCTCACTTATGTTCTCCAGCAACATGGGCAATAAACTCTCATTTCGTATCCACTCTGCTATTGTTATTACTAATAAATAGTAGTTCACATAAAAAAACAAGTCTTGTGTATATTTGAAAATATAAAACCAACCGAATCAAGAACCCCTTGAGTTGCAGTGAAAAGAATAATTTAATTAAATAAAGTGGAAGTACATGGCAATCTCCATTAAGAAATGCATAGTATACACTAAAGCACAGTCGATCACTTTCATTGAGAGATGCAAAATAGCCGAAAGTACATCATATTTCTACATTAGATGAACTAACTATGATGACCTGAACTATACATTTATGCAGACGAGCACTTACACACTTGAGCCCTTCATGTAAGTGATTGACTTCTTGTGAGATGTGGCATTTCAATGCATATACAGATTCTGTTTCAGAACTTTCTTCTCCACTTTCAATACAAACAATCCTAGCAAAAAATGAGCAGAAAATAACTTCAAGAGGAAGTTACCCAGCAACAAAAATATAAAATCATATTTCAATCACACATGGAAGATGCCAAAGCAAACAATTGGTGAAGCAATAGGCGAAGCGATCAATTAGTGTTAACAAGATGTTCCACATAAAGAAACCCAGAAATAACAGATATGAAATCAAATTTCAATCACACATGGATTTTGCCAAAGCAAACATTTGGTGAAGCGCTAAATTAAGCAATCAATTACTTATAATGCATATATACGTGAAGAAAACAAGTGAAGACACCAGCCCAAAGAAAAACGCACAACATATAGGCAAGCACTCTAGCATGCATACCTGCTAACAAGATCAATCCCAAAAAGAGTCTTCACAGCAGAAGATATTTCACTACACAAATTTGAAAAATTACATAAGATATAAATCAAGTCGACTAGCCAAAAAAAATTTCAATGGAACAAACAAATAAATAACAGTTGATATGGAACAATAAAGAGAATGATGAAAAGCTATCATGAAAGCTAATGAGAAGTAACTCAATGTTTAAAATAGAGAAATTAGAGGTGTGTATCACTACAATTTTGAAAAAAATGTTATGAGACATACAACTCACATTAGCTAGATGAGGTGTTCATATCAAATATTAGGATTTAGGTAATTTAAGAAAATTAATTAATAAATTTAATATATGAAATTAAACTTATTTTATTACTTCTCTAAATCTAAATCTAAACCAAATCAAACCAAGAACCACAAGCACATCTTCAACTAGCAGCTAAATGCAACACTTGCAATCAACGACGCTCGCAACCACATGCCACACCACTTTCGCTCCTCCAACACCTCTCCACTCCTTGCTGGTAACCTATTTCCTCATTTTATTTTGTCTTTTTTAAACTTCTTTTTTTCTTTATTTACTTTCTTTTTTATCATATGCATTTCCCCTTGTCTATTTGTTTAGATTTTCTCTATTTCGACTAAACATTTCAGTTGATGGTTATTCTAAAATGGTTGAGACTCTGAAAAAATGCTCTATGGGAAATGTACTAGATCCAGTATGGAAGTAGAATGTTCAAATGCAAAATGACGCGAGCGAAAATCTTACATTTTTTTGAAGTACAACTATTGTGATGAAATGACTAAAGGTGGTGAAAAAAAACTGAAAAAATATATTTTTTTTGTTCACATGAATAAAGTGATGAGTCAAAGCATTTAGTACCATGACAATTTGATGATAGAGTTGATAGTAGCTCTTACTATGGTAAAGGACCAAGTGGAAAAAATACATTTTATTCTTTTCTACATATCTACAATAGAGGTGCAAGGGGCCTATAGATCAATATAATGTATGTGAAGGGTGACAAGAATGATAGTATGAGGGTAGCCCATTAAATATTTGAAAAAAAATGCAAGAGAGGCTCACAAGCGTGTTTGTATAGACATTTACAAATTCTTTTATGAGAATGCCATTTAATTTAATGTGGCAATTTCCCCATTTTATGTCAACGGACTCATCCTATATAGCTTCCTATAGTCAATGCCTTAAACCTCGTTTATGATCCTTCTATGAGACTCAGACATTGATGGAGAAATTGAATAACATTGAAAAGGTTATTGAGGAGATCAAGAGAATTTTTTGTCACAAACTGGAGTTTATGATCATGTATGATGGTTAATCAAATATTAGAAATAGGAACTCTATCAATATTCTAATAAATAATTCCCATTACAATATTTTCTAAATTCAATTGAAGTGTCAAATAAGTAAAGGATGTAAAATACATTTCATATTAATTGATGGATTTATAAAGGTAACTGGAGAGCATTTACTAGTCCAAGTTGTTATTCATAATGTTAGTACTTACAAGAAGAGAAAGCATATTTACAAAGAAAAAGACCAAAATGGTCCATTTACTCTATAGGAATGATCAAAATGATCCCCAACTATATTAAAGTACTATTTTGTTCCCTCAACTCTTAAAAAAGAACTAAAATAGTCTCATTGTTACTATTTTAAGTAAAAATCAATAAAAAAATGAATACATTGATGATGGGAGGGTATATCTGAAATATAGTAAATTCATCGAAGCCAGCTGCTATAAATTCCTAAAGACCAAGACGAGAAATTGAAATTGAAGGATTTATACCTTAGCGACAAACCCCTTGCAGTGTTGAACCCCCATCGAAGACGGAATTTAAACACGCGAATGTCGAACCCCATCGTCGAACTCCAGCAATGTTGAACACCAGCAATCGATTGTTCTTCACATCCTTTGGCAACATCAAACTCCAGTGTGAACCCTAGCGTCAAATTCCAACAATATCGAACCCTAGTAGTCGACTATTCATCACGTCCTTAGGCAGTGTCAAACTCTGACAAAGTTGAACCTAGCAGCCATGAAGGACACCTTTCTATGGAGTTGATGTCCTTTGGCGCAAGGAAAATATCATCGCAAATTGGACCCCCACCCGCCCAGTCGTCGAGTTCAATTGAGCACCCACGTGATCAATTTAATTCAATCGAGCAATAGCTAGTGAGAGGTATATTTTTAAGTTGATAAGTTTGAGAGATTATTAGGCAAGTTTTGTTAAGGCAAATTAATCAGTGGTTGCTCTTATAATGATCATTCTCTTTCTTGCCAATACGTATCTGCTGCATTTCTATTGTTTAGATATATTGCTTAGTGTGTTTAAAAATATTTATTATATTTTGTTTCAAACAAAGGGGTATGATGTTTTACAACAGTGAAATGATAAATGTAATTTCTTTATTAGTTTATTGAATTAGCTATGGTTTAGTTTTCTTTTTAAAATTTAGATGACTTACCTCAAGCAAATATAAAGTTGTGAATGATATGATTAATTTTAAAAAAAATTGTGAACCGAGTATGATTAATATTTATGTGTTTCATAAATATTTTGTTTTAAATGATTTATCCTCCTTAATTAAATAACAAAATTATATAATTGAAAATTGCATTTGTTTATTAATGAGAAACTATATTGTATGTTATTTTATTATGTATTCATCTGAATGCTTTTTGCAAATTTTATAATAGGAACAAATAAATATAACGAAGTGGCGCTAAATCCAAAGAGTGACGAAGACAGAGATATTTTCAATCAATGAATTTATATTTTGAAAATTCAACTAAAATTTAATGAAGTTTTCGTGTACAACTTTTTGCCAGAAATTCTATATGAAATATTTAATGATTACCAAGAAGCATTACCAACAGAGTGACTTGAATATTTAAACTTCTCGCTATTATTTAATAGTTAAACCGAGATGACTAATATAAACACAAACAAGGGCGAATAAAGTAGTTAAGGTGATGATGATAATGATGTAGAAAATACTTGTGTTGATTCAGATGAATCTAAAAACTTTAATGATAGTAACTATGAGATAAAAAAAGCTAAAAATTTATCTACAAAAAAGAAGTAGATGACAGGACGAGATGGATCTCATGTTAAAGGGAAACAAACCATTGAATCTATTGGAGAATATCCCACTAAAATTTTAAAGGGGAAAAGCTATGATTTTCATTATGTGAACTCAGATGATGATGATAGCATACATGGTAGTAAAAATGATGACATTGGAATTGGCTGGCCTTCAATCCTGAGGCAGATTTATCAAATCAATCTTTCGAAATTGGTATACTTTTTAGTGGTAAGGAGTTTATGGAAGCGGGTAAGAATCGGTCAATTTGAGGAGAAAAATAATTAAATTTATAAAGAACGATTAAAAAAAAAGATAAGGCTATTTGTAGGAGACCAAATTGCCCTTTTCATATCTACACCTCAAAACATGACAGCATAGTTTAAAACTATGTAATTAGAGGTGTGCCTCAAGGCACGACTCTGCACAATTTCACCCAAGACGCCTTATTGCTTAAGCAATTCTGGGACAAGGAGAGGCGTACGCCTCATAGAACCTGAGGTGCGTCTCAAAGGAGCAATTGCGCAATAACAATGGAGGTGAACGCCTCAATTAAATGGGTCTCACTCACTTAAGTGCCTAATCAAATATCCCATTCATTCCTCCCTAGCGTCCCTTGGCCGACCCGAACTGCACGAAGCTGCAAAGCCCCATACGACCCGCCCTACCGTCCCTTGGTCGACCTTCCCGTCACCTCTCCTGCCGGCACAGCCTCACGCCGGTGAGCAACACGTGTCCGGCCGCCCTCTATGAAACCTCTACTATCGGTTTTGGATTTTTTTAAAAAAATTAATCTTTGATTTCTCAACTTATAGAAAATCTAGGGTTTAAATTTTATAAACTTATTTGACACTGCATAACATGTTGGATGTTAGGCAATCTCTTGAAGCCATGTTTACATCGATACAATGGCTTAATTGTCCATGGGGCAAGAAACCCGAGGGGAAGAAAATACGAAGGATGATTTTGAATGATAAATTTTGAGCAAGTGTGGCCTATGCCATATTGAGCACAAGACCCTTAGTACAAGTGCTATAATTAGTGGATGGCGAGAAGAAATCAGCCATGGGTTTTATATATAATGCAATGGATGAGGCAAAGGAGTTGATTGCACATAATTTGGGAGGAGAAAATGCCAGTTATAGAGAGATTTGGGATATAATCGATGCTCGGTGAGAGGTCCAGTTGCACGGTCATCTACAAGCAGCTGCGTATTATCTCAATCCTCAATTTCAGTATTCAAAGAGGAAATCCTCAAATCCAGAGGTGAAGCTGGGCTTGTACCATTGCATGGAGCGGTTGATACCAAACAAGTCCGTCAGGGTGCTTGAAGATTTAGAACTTGTTCTATTTCGGAATAGGGAGGGATTTTTTGGTCTGCAAGCAGCAAGATCTATTATTCTCAAATGCTCTACAAGTTAGCTTATTTTTACAAAATAACCATACATGCATAAAACTTTAATATGTTCTGATCATCGTTGATCTTTTTGAAAATAGTTAAATGGTGAATCCAATTTGGTGATTCCACCCCTGAGTTACAGAGTTTTGCAGTTAGAGTTTTCGGCCTCACTTGTTCTTCCTCTAGGTGTGAGCGAAAGCATAGCACATATAGTCAAATGCAAACGAAGAAAAAAATTTGACTTTCAATACTCAGAATGAACTCCCTTGTATATATTATGCACAACAAGAGGTTGAGAGATAAGAGGTTGAGGAACAATGGGTTGAAGGATGATGAGGACCCTTTGGTGTGTAATGATGTAGCGTCTGATAATTAATAGTACATAGATGATGAGACATATTTGTCATTATCAGACCTGCAGCTAGAGGATTTAAGTGTGCACATCAAACACATCCACTAATATTATAGCATAATAAGCAAACAAATGTATCTCACAATTTCTTATATGCTATTATATTTAAAATATATGCAATTAACAACATACTAATCATTCTTATTGAACAGTAAAAGAAAAAGTGGGTAAGATTGAACATGATGAAGATTTGACATTCAAATATACAATTGGAGATGAAGATGCATCCACTGAAGATCCATTTAGTGATAAGACATGATTAAATTTTAGATGTTCTTTCTAATTTGTACTTTGGGAGTTCTGATAGACTTCAATTTGTAGTTTTGTACTTTGAATTATGCTATGAGATACATATATTGCATCTATTATATTGTTATCCACTAAGTTCACTTCTCATTTAGATATTTTTATTGCATCATAAACTCTTACTGTTATTTACCTGCTAGAATACTTAAATTTGCATTTATGCAATTCTTCATCCGTGAGGCTTACGCCTCACACAACTTCGAGACTTATGCCTAGCCTCACGGACGAAAAATGACTCGAGACTTATTTATGCAATTTTAAACCTTGCATGACAGATCATATCTTTACAAAAATATACCTAAACATGTAATTATCATATTAAGACTTTAAACTTTACAATCATTGTGAAGGGGTATGTAAACAAAATCAAAGTCAATCCACAAATAAAATGCAATACAATTAGAAAAGAAGTGACAGATGACTTGAGGTTGCGAAAAAGAGTTGACCATGAATAACCATCACATTCAAAGCCAAAAAAATTAGGTAGAGCCAATGTAAAGCTTCATTGCAATAGACGCAGACAGAGCGAACACAATAGAATCACTTGTGAAAAGAGGATGCATATTGAGGAGAGACGCAAGGAGATGATTAGGAAGTTATACAACCATAGGCTGAAATGGTACGTCATGTAATTCCATCAGTTCCGCTTAGTTAACTATTTTGATTTAAAAAAGATATTTTTGAAAATTTTGCTTAGTTCAGTTAAAGAGTCAAACATAGTGTGAGTCAATTTTGCAAACTCCTACACAAGGATCTTCCAATACAAAACCTTTGGTAAGTTCATTTAAATTTTTTACTTTGGGGCTTACCATCTATTTTCTTTTATGAATTTAACTAGTTTCTTCCTTTTGCAGGTGTACACCTCCAAAAGAAAAAAAAAAAACTCACTGATTGAAATATCATGTTTCAGACCATGAACGTTTTGTATGGATGGTGGGAATAATAGTACAAAAAACTACATATTTTATATTTTATTTCAACTTTTGAATGTAATTAAAAAATAGACATATTTCAATAAATATTATATTTTGTATCGATAAAAGAGTACTTTACTGTTCTCTTATGATACATTTCAATGGAAAAGATGAATTTCTAGCTTTATTTAATGTTATTTTTTAAGAACTTTTAAATCTAATGAACTTTTACTAAAGGGAATGAATGGTTCTCATACCACACAAACTGCCCCCTTATTTTTCAAGGGTTGTTACATCAAAAACTCATTGGATTCCGAAACCAATAACATCTCAGTATATGCGCCTTTCAAGGCTGAATCGGAAGGCAACTTAGTTGATTGTGGTGATCATGCTTCAGTCACTTCTTGTGCAAGTGTTGGCTTATTTAGTAAATTATCATTCTAGTGGTTGAATCCTTTGATGAAGAAAAGCTATGAAAAACTGCTAGAGGAGAAAGGCATTCATATGTTAGGAAAAAAAGACGAGCTTCGTACTCTGTATTTCTTTATTAATTCTTTATAATGTTGTGGGTCTTGCAACTATAGCAGTCATGATTGTCATATTATTTATATCTACTGCTACTTTCTTAACTTTCCATTTCCTTAAAAAATTCTCTTAATGGGATGAAAATTATATCTAAAAATAGAGGGCTTGATAATTCGCTAGAATTCTTTTATTGTCCTTTTTTCAACTTCTACTCATATGTATGTAATTGGAAATTTTTTTGAAAAATTATAATTACTTGAAAATTATATTTGATAAATAGTTTTAAATAAAAAATTTTTAAAATATCGCTAATTTTAACACCATTAAGTCCAACATCCATTAGTTGGATGGTGGGACTATTTTGATTCTTTTTTAGGTGATGAGGGACCAAAATGATCATTTAATATAGTTAAGGACTATTTTAGACCTTCCTAAAGAGTAAAAGGATCATTTTAGACCTTCCTAAAGAGTCAAAGGACCATTTTGATCATTTTCTCCATATTTATAGTACGCGATATATATCACATTGCATTGATTTAATCCTTAAAAAATTGAACTATTGCCTCAGCATAAAAATGCCTCGACTTAAAAGAGAAAAATAATAGCAAGTCCATTTGCAATCATAGTTGGGTTTTCACCTTGATGAGAAGTTCATTAAGAATGAACTCGTTAGTCCTGCAACTACAAGATTGTTACGGCATACTTAACTTTACAAACCATTCTAGAAGCAAGGAAAACTTTGGTGCTATGTTCACCTCCACAAACTTGCTAAATTGTGTTTGAGCTAAGAAACCTTATGGAAAAAAATATTAGAAATAATTTTTTTGAGTGAGAGATTTTGATAATTGTGACTTCAACTATCACAACTATTGAGCCCTTAGTTTATGTTTTAAGAATGGTTGATGCAATGAGAAAAGTAGCAATGCATTTTATTTATAATGCAATGAATAAGGAAAAGAAGTTGATATCACAAAACGTAGGTAGAGATGGGTCAACAACAAAAAGATCTTGGAAATTATTGATAGGAAATAGGAGCTTCAGGTGCATTGATATTTGCATAACATTAGCTATAACTTGAACCTCAATATCAGTATGCTCAAAACAAGTCACCAATTCAGAGATCAAATTTGATTTGTACTATTGTATGAATAGACTGATTATTAACTCAATGCGAGAGCAAAACTTGATCTTTAACTTATAGCTTCCAAAATAATGAAGGATTCTTTCTATCACAAAATAAGAAAGGAGTTAATAACACTTATATTCAAATCATTAAAGATATGTATGCAGGAGCTATTACTTGTGTTCAAACAAAAGGGGGTTTGACCAACTATTTCCCTATTTCGGTTGGGTTACATCAAGGATCAGCCTTAAGCCCATATCTTTTAGCTTTAGTCATGGATGTTCTCACTAGACTTTTGCAAGAGGATGTACATTGTTGTATGCTTTTTGCTGATCATATTTTTCTTGTAAATAAGACTAGAGAGGGAGTTGAAGGTAAACTTGAATTATGGAGGTCAATCTTAGAGTCTAAAGATTTTCGTTTGAGTAGATCTAAACCGGAATATGTGGAGTGTATTTTAGTAGTAATAGACCTAACGAGGGGATTGTAACTTTGGGCGATCAAGTCATTAATAAGAGTACACGTTTTAGATTTATTGGATTTATTGTTCAGAATAATAGTGAAATAGAACGGATATTATTAGTAGAATTAAAGTTGGATGGTTGAAGTGGAGGAAGCATCGGGCTTGTTGTATGATAGAAAAATACCCCTCAAACTTAAGGGAAATTTCTATAAGATGGTGGTGAGGCCTGCAACGCTTTATGGTGTCGAATGTTGTCCATTAAAAGAGAAACATAATACTAAGTTAAGTGTGGCAGAGATGATGATGCTCAGGTGGATGAGTGACTTTAACCCTTAGAGATAGGATACAAAATGAGCATATACATGAAAAGGTTGGAGTAGCTCTAGTAGAAGATAAGATTAAAGATAATCGCCTTAGATGGTTTGGTCACATAAAATGACGACCTTCCGATGACCCAGTTAGGAGAGTGGAGGCATTAGATTTGACTTATGTAAAGAAAAGTAGAGGCTGACCTAAAAAGACTTGGTTAGAAAATATTATGAATGACCTTTCTTTATTAGATTTAAACAAGAATTTGACTTTTAATAGGACAAAATGGAGAAAAAGGATTCATGTAGCTGACCCCACGTAGTGGGATAAAGGCTTGATATTGTTGTTGTTGTTGTTGTTGTTGTTGTATAGTAGTTCATGGAATCATGTACACTTGTAGAAAAAACAAATATCTGACTCAGCTAAAACTAATCACACTTTTAGTCCAGTAAAAAAATGAATGAAAGTAGAAGAAAAAAAAATAGTCCTAGGTCGTAGATTATCAAATTGAGATTTTACTAATAACTAAATGATTGATTTTTTTATATGCCTCAAAACCCTCTTAAAAATAAAAAAATCGTCTTCATATTTACACTCAGAAAACAATGCAGCTAAGTGGATGTTTTGTTCGAAGTAAAACAAATGTAGTATAAAATTTTGGCATATTTTGAATGCACCTTCTAGTATAAATTTGGTATATTTCAAGTTCATCCGATCTGGGTTATTTCAAAATATACTATAAATTCATCGTCATTATCATCAGCCACCGCCACCAAGAGCTGCCACCCCACCTCTGATCGCCACCGCCACCCACCCATCGCCGCTGTTGGCTGTCACTTTCGCTACCACCTACCACCTATCTCTGGCCACCAATAGCCACCATCACCAGCTACCGTTGCTACCAATGACCACCACCACCACTACTACAATCGTGACAACCACCATCTTTGAACTTTACACTACATTCATTCTACTTTAAGCTAAACAAGAAAAAATAATCATCTACATACATTTTACACTCATCTAAACAACTCCAAAGTATTTCAAATACAATACATTCCTTTTACACTGTATATATTTTTCAGCCAACCGAATAGCCCTTAAATCCTCACATCTCACTCAAACTCTATAAGTTGAATGGTCCTCATTTCTTTCCAAAAAGAATGAAAAAAATTAGTTCAATAGGTTGAAATTAGTTAATAACAAATAATTTGTTATGCATCTCAGCTATGAGTTCTGTTGCAGGGCTTCAACAAGCTTTCATTGCTCTCTCTAGAACATTATCTAATGCTGTTTGGACCTTTTTGGATTGATTGCATTACTATCAAATAGTCCAGCTGAATTTCTTATCGTCCATTAAAGTAAGAATGCATCAAATCAAAATCCTCATATAATTGCAAATTACATGTATAAAGTAATACTCTGTTGTTTAGAATGGTAACTTAGCAGTAACAGGAAGCCATACCTTGAATCTGATGATTTGAGAGATTGAGAGAGTGTATACATCAACTGGGTCCAACATTCTTCAGCATCCTGTTATTATTTAGCATAAAGAGTATCAAGGTTAATGAAATAAGCATTAATGAAGGGAACCAAAAAGTATAAGTAGTCAAATAACACCTGCTGCATATAGGCACCATTGTGCTGCTGTGCAAATTGCGGATACTTCTTCCTTAATATCTATGAACACAAGTAATGGTAAATTACTGTGAAGTTATGATGAAGAAAATATATAAGGTTAGTTGAATGAGTTCTTATCCTTCAGGGGAAAGTAAATACCCCCCTTTTAAGAGAAACTGTTTCAATACATTAAGGCAAAGGCAAAAATCATGATGCAAATAGATCATGTGTAAGGTTAGAAACGCTATTAGTTTTTAATTTAATGTGAAAAGTCAAAAAATAATAATAATAATAATAATAAAGAATTGCTTTGGGATATAAGAGAATAATTAGGTTTAATCCTGGTTTAATCTCCAACCAATAGCTCCAAGTTGACTGTTTCTCAATTTACAAAGATTAAAGACATTCGAGTTATATGCTTGACAAAGATTTAACAATTTAGAAAAGTAATACAGCCAAAGCAAAGAATTATAGATTTTGAGAAAACGGTCTAAGACCATCCATATGGAATAAACAATTAGTACATAAAACTTCATCATAGACTATGGTTCAGTGAAACTCTAACCACTTTCATCCAACTCGAACAAATTAATTTTTACTAATAACCATGTAACATAAGCATTGAGCTCCTGATGTCTTGTTGGAAAATAACGGATAGGTCCAAGGTTTTTAAAGCTTGGAATTGTAAATGAGTGCCTGAGCTCGACTTTATCCTCAAACCCTTCAAACTTTTCCATATTCCTAGACCTTGCTGAGGAAGTTGAAGTCTAGTTAATATTAATTACAAACAACAAGTCACCCAAAATCAAAAGACATGTCATAGTAGAAGATTCTATGAAGTTACAAAGGCAAACATGAGGAACAACAACTCGGATAATTTGAAGTTATATCACACCACCAAGACACCAAATCAGGGTAAAAACATGAAATTAATCAGCAGGAAAAGAAACACTGAAATTTTGACTGAACTAAGAAAAATATTGCACTTTATTAAATGTAAGACCATCTCAAAGTGAACTAACCGACAAAAACTGCAATGGTGCAACTGGTCTGACATTTCTATCAAGTTCACTAAAAAGATCACGAGTTGCAACAGTTAGAAGATGTGAGAACTGATCCAAATCATTGCTTCTTCCAAAGTTTGTGTAGCTGATCATAAATAGAAAAATGTCAAACTATGTCAAGAAATGGGTGGGGGTACAGATCAATGAATATTAATAGTCAATCAAAAAGGATAAAAGCACTGAAAGAGTGGGAAAATTCCAACCAAAAGAGCAAAAGCTCACTTCTCTAATGCTGCTTTCAACTCAGGAACTGAATGGAGGCATTGCAGAGTAGAGTTCAAGTAGCAGGTGTTTCCCAGGTTAAAAATGCCAGCACTTTGACCCTAATGATGGACCAAACAAAATTCAACCATACAAAGAAAGAAGCAGCAAAGTGGTGATACAAAACATGAATGACAGACATTATGACTAATACACTATGGAAAGAACAACCAACAAGAATAAGATAAATTAAAAGTTTTAAAGAGACATGGAAAAGGTAATAAATTTTTGTACAAGCAGCAGTCTCGGGCATTCAAAAATGTGACGTGACTTGAAAACTTCAACTACAAAACCACTATTCAAAATTCTAATCAAGACATTTAGTTAAAAAAATTTAGAGGTGCCCTTATAAGTTGCATCCTTGAAAGTCCCTCTCCTATGTCAAGGATAAGTAAATTGTTCGGAGGAAGCCAGATTAACCCTGTCAACAGCGACCTATACTCAACAGTCATCCAATTTAAAATGACTTTTGCTAGTTGCTGATTATTTTCATGAATTATAAGCTGCAACTACTAAGGCAACAACCTCCTATGATCACATCAAAAACATCACCACTGTAACCACCTGTACAGCATAGTAGTATAAATTACGGGAGCACATTTGTATTAGCAAGCATTATGTATAAATTACGGGAGCACATTTAGAATGAGACAATTTATGTTATATGGATTTGAGTGTTTGAGGTAATGAAGTCATTAGAGCTAAACTGAGTATAGTATAAATAAAAATGATAAAATGAACATGTGGTGAAATTAGAAATAATATATTATTAAATGGTTTTACTGAAGTTATGATAAGATCTCTCCAATCCCGCCAGCTTCACCCACTCCTCCACCCAAACCAGCCGGCCTCTTCCCACAACCCTCTCTTCTTCCCCACCGAAATTCCCCATCCCCCTCCTAAAGCCTAACCAGCCATCTTCCCCCACCTCCAAACTGTCAACACCCTCACAAACCCTAACCCTAATACCTCCATAACCGCCGAACACCTTCTTCCTCCCATTGGCTCTCACAATTTCATATTGTATTCAAAGCCTTCCTATTTTATACTTCTTAATTTAGTAATGAATTCAAATTCAAAATTCAAATTAATTTGAATTTGAATTTGTTTCCTAAATTAGGATTCTTATTTTAGGAAAGTTGTTTAAATTAGATCCAATTACACTTCTGATTGAATTTGATTTCAATTAATTTTCCTCAATTTCAGATTTCAATCAAGACCCAGTTTAATTCCCTTTCCTAAACCCTCTCCTCTCTCTACCCTCTGCCCCCTCTCTCCTATCATCTCTTGTAAAACTCTTTTTTTTATCGTAGGTGTTGCACGCATTTCGATGCATCGCGACAAAACTTAAGTGAAAATTTAAAGTTAACTGATTCTAACGGAAATAATTTTATAAAATTCTACGTAAATTTCTGAATCATTTGATATATAAAACTTATAGTAAATTTTGTGTATTTTGAGAGATAAAATTTATGGAAGCCTCTAAATACCCAAACTACTCCTAATATGTATTAATGCCGAAATAGTATAAGTGATGGCAAATAGGTCTTCTGGATTTTACTATCTCCTAATATAGCAAAAACCAAACCCTCGCTCATTCCAATTGCACGTTCGGCAGAAACTGAGAGGAGAGGAACGAATGACTAGGGCGAACGAGCGGACGACGAGGTGGCTCCAGCGACGTTTTTCCGGTGAGGAAATTAGTGGAAATCGAAGAGTAAGATAAGGGGAGTATTAAGGTATGCTTTATTTGAAGCGAATCCTTCTCTTTCTCAAGATATTTGGAAAGGGATTTTTAGAGTTTTCCAAAAATAATAAGATTTTCGTCCAATTTTCTTTATGAAATCAATATGGAAGATTTAGTGAAGTGGTTTAACGATAGAAACGAATTTTTTTCACAAATTATTTTGAGTTTTGAAAGATTAGGATTTTTCCTAATTTATGATTTTTAAGCAATTTATAATTTTTATTCCTTATGATATTAGAAGTGTTTTAATGATAAAAATTTTGGTTTTTAATAAAAATTTCATTTGACATAATTTTCTAATTAATTAAATCCGAAAATAATTAAGGTAGTTATTAAAATAGGTTTAGGAGAATTTTTAGCATAATAATTTGAGTGAAATTTAAGATTTAGGATTTTCTAAAATTTGGATTTATAATAATTCCGAAAATATAATTTTAATTATAGTAATTATTGAAAATATCTGTGATTTATGCTTAGTTCAGTTGTAATTGTCCGTAGGTGTGGATTAAGGAGACGACACGTGGTTAAGCAATGTCATGCAGCGTAGTGGTTGTTGTTCGATGCTTTCAAGGTAGGTGATTACATTTAAATTAAGTTTATGAAATTTAATTAAGTAATACTGCACTTTCAAAAATTATAAGTTAATGTTTATGAATTATTCATTATTGATTTTGCTTTTCAATTATTACTTATACTTACGACATGTTACTTAGAAATTTTAAAGCTAATTAAACAAACTTAAGGCATAGCGAGACAATTTTATTACCTGAAAAACATTTATGAACATATGATATAATGAATAATTTTAATCTCCTTGATGAATATAAGTATTATAAAGTGCATGTGCATGATGATCCGGAAGTATCAAATGGTAATGGGGTTCTACGGAGCCAAATTGTAATTAAGGAGTCTGTTGGAGTTTATATTGATATTTATGTGTTTATGGATTTTAGTGGTTGTGGTTTAGAAGAACTTTATTGGATAAACTTTCAGTTAATATTTTTAGTGGCTCTTTCTTATTATGTATTGATGATGTTTGTCCTGCTATAAAAATAAATGAAATTGTTATGATTTATATGTGTTTTCCGTACGACTGTCTGTTCCCGCCCCATTAATTTGAGCTAGCCGGGCAGGGTTGTGACAAGAGCGGTATCAGAGCCAAAGATTTAAAATTGATTAATGAAAAAGCCTATAGGATGATTGTTTGAGTGTTAGAATGTGTAGAAAGTGTGAATTTTATAAATTTCCGTCTTATGATTATTGTGTTTCATCTCAGGAATATGGTTCTTGAGTAGAATGTCACTAATGGCATTGATGGTGAGGAAGGGAGAGAGCTACCAGAAGTAGCAGAACCTCAGAGGAATAATAATAGCACCGCTATGGAGTCATTCGCTCAAATGATGGAAGCAATGACTCAGATGATAAAGACCTTTCAAACTCAGACCAGTGGTAGTGGAAGTCGTTCTATGGATAAGAACTTAAAGCTATTTCAAGATATGAAGCCTCCGTTGTATTCAAGTGGTGGACCTATAGAGGTTGAAGATTGGCTGATGCGAATAGAGAAGATCCTGGAGGGCATGTCTTGGCTAGAAGATAGGAGGGTGACACTTGCTTCTTATGTCTTTGATGATGAGGTAGAAAGGTGGTGGCGTAGTTAATTATAAGAAACTGTTGGAAGACAACCCAGTAGTCAAGTCTCCTGGGAAGAGTTTGTGAAAGTATTCAGAGGCTTGTATGTACCTATGTCAGCCAGGAGACAGATGCAGCATAAGTTTAACATATTGGTTCAGGGAGATCGATATGTTTCTCAATATGAGACAGAGTTCACAATGTTGTCCAGATATGCCCCTCACTTGATACCTAATGATGAAGAGAAATGTCACCGCTTCTTGATTGGACTGAAGGATATAAAAAGATAGTCTCTCATACCTTTTGGAATTGAAAATTATTCTACTTTGATGGAAAGATCTAGAAGGATCGAGATAGACTTGCAAGCAACTAAGAAAAGGAGGGATATTCAGAAAAGGAAGATGAAGGGCAGCCCAAAGCCCTCTCAGTTTGCTCAGTCTTCTCAGTCGGAGGTGTCTACTTGAAAGAAGCATAAATCAAATAATTCTAAAAGTAGTGTTTCATCTGCTATTTTATGCAGCAAGTGTGGGAAACTGCATAAGGGAGAGTGTTTCTCTGGCACAAATACTTGTTACTGGTGCCATCATCCTGGACATATGGCAAAGCCTTGCCCTCTTCGAGGACAGAGATCTACTACAGAGGTCAGGAAAGGCAACAATACTCAGAGGAACACTAGCAGACCAAGAGCTGTGGAGTCTACAGCCTCTGTTCCTTCTCAAGTTCAGACTCGTAAGAATGTTCGGCCTCGAGTCTCTGGATTGTTCTAACAAGAAGCTAAGGGGTCTTCTGACGTTGTTACAGGTACGTAATTTAATTAACTGCCAATGAACATCTTTTTTAAATGATATGAAAGAACAATGAATGTCATGTCTTATAAATGAATATTGTGACCTTTTTATGATTAGGGACAATCCTTATATGTGATAGACCTGTTAGAATTTTGCTTGATACTAGAGCGTCACATTCCTTCATTTCTGAGGGTTTTGTTAGATCAATCAATTTGCTTCCAACAGTTATGGTTAGATCACTGTCAATTTTAAAGCCTAATGGAAATCATATGGAAGCTAAGCAAAAATATCATGTGGATGTCAGGATTTGTGATAAGAACTTAGAGGCAGATCTTATTGTATTACCCTTATCTGAGTTTGATGCAATCTTAGGCATGGATTGGTTATCTTGTCATTTCGTGATTATAGATTGTAATAAAAAGGAGGTTAAGTTTAGTATGCCATGAGAGGAAATTTAAATTTCATGGGGATAAAAGGGTAACAGCTGTGATTGTGTCATCTATAATTCACGCATATAAATGTTTATTATGATCTTTTATTGTTTCATTTTCATACTTAATAACATATTTAAAAAGAAAATAAAAATATTTCATGAATTTAAGATAAATGTTTATCACCTGCTGAGCGTTGGCTTATCCTATTATTGAAAATATTTTTCAAGAGATAGTGTTAAGAAGTGATGGCTACGAGATGACAGTACACCTACCGTCGTAGATGACCTTAGGAAGAAAGGTTTTATATTTTCTGTTATGTGTATCGAGTCAGTAGATTGTAATTAAAAAGTCTGTTTGAGTTTATATTGATGTTTATGTATTTATGGATTTTAAAGGTTATGATTTAGAAGAACTTTATTGGATAAACTTTCAGTTGATATTTTTAGTGGCTCTTTCTTATTATG